TTTTTTTTTTTTAATATTTCTTTATTTTCAAACAAAATAAAATTAATATGGTGTTAGCAAACACATGAATTCTGAATCATTTATTTGCATGTGACAAGACAAAAGAGAGAGAGAGAAAAAAAAAAGAACCGCCTAAAAGAATAAAAACAATTCAATTTGTTTTTTTCTTTAAAATCTTGACATGGATATTCAATTCTCAATGATCTAGTGAAAGGCGAGAAGGACGATAACAATGGAAATGATGGTTTTTATTCTTTCTTTGACGTGCTTATTGATTGCTTATTCTTGTTCGTGCAGGTAAAATGAACAAACATACACACACACATATATATAGACGACAACGTTACCTTGGTTTCTTTGCTGTGTTCTGCTTACTTCTATTACGCTATGATTCCTTTGCATAGTAGCAATTATTCGTTTTGCTTCAATATGTGACATAAAATTCTTTTTTTTTTCTTGTTCTTTTTTTTTTATAGATAGATAAACCTCTTAACAAAAAATAAGGATAGACAGACAAAATAAAATATATTATTATCAGTAATGTCCTCACGTAAAGGTTCAGTTGATAGTTTTGATGAATTTTTTGGTGAAACAAAACCTGATAATAATAATGACAAAAAACAAAAAGAAGATGATATATCACCATCAACAGATGTTGCAAATCCTATTCGAACTCAACCTATTATTCATCATCCACAAACAGCTTCAGATAAAATATGTAAGGCTTTATTCAAATAAATATTATAATATAAATTTATTTTCATAGCTAATAAGAATAGTGAAACTATATTATCAACAAAACATATTAATAAAACATCAGCATCATTATCATCAAAATCAAAACATATCGATTCTCAACAATCAAAATCTATTGATTCACCTCAATCAAAAATTTATGAATCAGGTTCAATATAAACTTTATATTTTTATTTTTTTCTATTATCAATTTTTTGTTTATTCTTATTGATAGATTTTGATGATAATAAAGAACATGAAAATATTGATATAAATATAGATAATAAAAAAAATTATATTTTATTATCATCACAAAAAAAACATTCATCTGAAATAATACATCGTACGAATGAATCAAAATTAAAAACTTTATATACATTAAAACATGATAATATACGACGAAAAGAAAAATTTTTACCGTTTATTCGTCCATCAAAACAACGAAAAGGTATAACAAAACGTTATCCAAAAGATAATAAAAATGAAATTGAAAAACGTTTATTATCAGCACAAAATAATAAACTTAAACAACTTCAATCATATATAAATGAAATACGTCGACAATTAGAAGAAGAACGTATTGAAAATCGAACATTATTATTAATACAAAAACGTGAAGAAAAAGATTTAAAAAAATATACAAATCAACTTGAAGATATTCGTTTAATTGCACAAGATTTTACACAAGAAATTGAAGATGTTAAAGAAAAAATAAATAATGAACGTGAAATAAAATTAAAACTTGAACAAGAAATTGAACAACATGATCATATATTACAAAATCAAACAAAACGTATGAGATTTTTTAAAAAATTATTAATAAATGAAACAAATCTTAATGAAACTGAACAATTACGTGAACAATTAAATGAAGCTAATAAAAAATTAAAAAAATATCAAGAAATAATTTCTAATAAAGTAAATCAATAATTTGTATATAATAATAATGATTATGTTTTCTATTATTTAGGAAAAAGAAATTGAAAATCTTGAAAAAAATTATCGTCATGAAATAAATCATGAATTAATTAAACAACGTAATCTTAAACATGAAATTGATAATCATTCAATAAAATATAATGATCTATTATTAAAATGTGAAGATAAAACACGACAAATCGATACAATGCATATTTATATACAACGTGGTGGACGACGACCATCTCATTCATCATCAAAATTAACTAAATCATATTCATTACAATCACTTCAAGATACATCACCACGTTTTAGAGAAAAAATTCTTGAATATGATAAAAAACGTCGTGAACAACAACAACAACAACAAAAACTTAAACCAAAACTTAAACCATTAATATTACCTAATAATAATCCACCATTAAAACATGAACGAAAAAAATATATACCTAAATTAGAACAAAAATCACAAACAAAAAAATCTTCATCAATATTATCACATATAAAACATGATGAAAAATCATCAACAATTGAAAATGGTAGTATTTTATTTAAATATTTATCAAACTAAATCACAAAACACTATTTAAAAACCACCAAACAAACAAACCTGCTTTCTTGAACACGAGAGAATCACTATTTTATCACTTAATAATATTCAATAGGATATTATTTTCTGAGTAGTTAATATGTGAATGAAAGTCACTGTAAGCTAATCTCTTTAATATTGAGATACAGAACGAGTATAGGAAATAATAAATTCCCGGAACATAAAGCCCGTCAGATTCAAATTGTACTTCTAATTTCAACGAAATCTAAATCTGGTTACAGACTGTAGCATATGTTGTTGATATACGATCAACAATCGTAAATCAATAGTACCTCGTTAATATATATATATAAACGACTTCCCTCTTGCATTTCTGAAGAAGAAATGTGTGACAAAATAGATCGAGTAAAACAATCTGCCTATGATTAGCAACAATAGTTAAATTATATTTCATATTTTAATCTTACAGGAATTGCATTTTTAGTCAAAGTCTAATACTTTCCAAATATCTAGAATATAAACTCGAAGAGGAGATAAACAATAGAGATTTTGGACTTGAAGTTCACTGTTTTCTTTTTGGATGTGACTCTCTATGAGCTTTACTCTTTCTCTTGTAATTTTGAACATTTCTAGTTGAGAAATCTTGTCGTATAAAAATAAGAACATGATTCACAGCGAATAGCGTCATTGTTAACAAAATGAACGTTGATATCTGATAGTGAATTAAAAAAGAGTATGATTGTAGTTCATAGCACAACTATATCAAATCTAACTTTATATATATCTAGAATTATCTGCACATTGTGCAAAACCTGTTTCCATAGATCACATTTTATGATCTTTGATTGTTATTACTGTTGTCTTTGTTGATCTTTTGTTTTCTGTTTACAAAATTTATCATAATAAAAATAAAATGAATTTTCTAATTTAAATTTAAAAATTATTTCAATCTAATATCATTAATATGAAGGTTTTTGAATTCAAGAATCAAAAATTCGTCTTTAAATATTCAATAAAAAATTTTATTTTAGAACATCTATTAACAAAAGATAAACGTCAAGTTCGTCGTTTATCAACACCAAACAGTATTGATGAAGATAAAAGTGAATTAGACGATGAAACTGTTAGTGATTTCATACATCTAAAACCTCCATCAGCACCAACGAAAGGTATGCAACGACGCGAACAACATTTATCTCAAAGTCCAATTCATAAACGTTCACTTACACCTTTGTCACCACCATTTGAATCAAAATTTAGTTCATTAGGAACTAATGAAAGTACTACAACAACATCAAATCTATTGAAACGTACTGAACCATTACCATTAGTAAAACCACCAGTAAAACGTCAACTTGATGATAAATGGACAAATTTAATTGATATTAATAAAAAAGAAGAATCAACAAAAGAAGATCTTCTATCAAAATTATTATCTGATGAAGAACAAGAAAAAAAATCAACAACAACTACACAATTGTCACCACCATCTTCTCAACCAGCATCATTAATTATGTTTGAACCTACTTCATCATCAACAAATGGTCATCTAAAAAAACCACCTACACGTCTAACAACAACGAATGTATATGATTTTAATAAAGCTGTTATTAATTTACATGATGGTGTACCAGTCACTGCTCAACCAACAACAACAACGAAAACGAGAACATCTATTGATCCATTTGAGTCTTTATTTAATAATAAAAGTACTAAATCAACAAATCATGTAACTGGTCGTGATGATACTTTTACGACAACAACTGATAAATCTGATCCATTTGATTCACCTTTTGGTGAATCACCATCTGCAACTAATATTTCAACAACAATTAAACCAAATTCAAAACAATATCCATTACAAAATGATAAATTACAAAGACCAAAAGTAGTAACAAATCCATCAAAACCAGTGCCTAATAGGACAGTTGTTGAAGAAATTGAAGAATTTGTTTTGTGAACAGAATTAATTTATGTTATATATACTTTTTCTTTTTGTATGAGTATACGATGACAAAATCAAATACAATGTGCTTTAAGCAAGTTATGATCAGCTTTATTTATTAGAGTATTTCAAATAAAAATTAGAGTCCGTTGGGTTGATTTCGAAACTGATTGAATATGTTATACTCTAGAAGTAACCGCTACTTATAATTTGATTATGATAAGGTCGTCATTAAGATTGTACGAAAAAAAGTGTAAACCCGTTTGTCCCAATAAAAATGCGCTGTGGCTTCTAAAATATCAACGTATTCAAAAAGTTTAGGATGGGACGGAGCTACGAAAACTATTTTCGCAATAAAACTACTGAATTTCAATCATTATGTCAAATCTCGATATATACTCAACGAATATCTTTTATACAACAACATTTTTATTCTACAGAAGTATGTCGATATGAACCCAATGTTTATGGCGGAGAGAAGCGGTATAGTGAAGGCGTTTGTAACAGTATCTGACATATGCTATTCATTAGGACTAATGTTTTTTTTTTACTTATGAGATTAAATATTAACACATCTGCATACATTTCATGATGCTACTGTTGATAATTACTTCTAGCCAATTTTCGATCACTTTAGTTGAAGAAATTTCTTCCATTTCTCTCATACGGTATGTCTGGTTGGACTCACATTTTTTAATAAGTACTTTGGTCAAAGTAAAACACATGTTTTTGACACTGCTTCCAGTATTTTGCTTTTGTCATAAAAATAATAGCAGCTCAAAAAAATGAAGTCGGGAGAAGGAAATTTTTGGCTTTTGTAACCCACATATTTCTCTAAACGATGCATCTGGAAATGTCAAGTCTATGATAACTTTTGCTCCACTTATTCAATTATTTATTGCTTGATTCTAATCATATTCTAAACATATCATTACGTGTAGAAACAGAAGAAATATGATTTTGAAAATTAGTAATGATGTTCAAATATTTGTTCTCAAACAAAGTACCTATAATAGAACTCATAGTGATCATGATGGCAGAGTATACACAGACAGCGTGTGACCAAGACAAATTTAATAGAAATTGCGAAGTTTTGCTCGAAAAATTGATATTTTCTAGCCATAATTCATATGGATGGCGTAGATATTCTATTTGTGTACATGATTTTGGTTGTGATAGTAGCAGAATACCAATAAACAACAAAAGTATCTTACATCTTCGAAATAAGTATCACATATATATTTCTTCAGCGAAGAAAATATCTCTAAAGACCTCTTTCGAAAGATCCATTTTCAATTTCGTTCATCAATGTTGCAGATTAAGTTAATTCGTATGTATTGAATGTTTCGAAATAATTAATAGAATTTCCATACAAAAACAAATGTTTTCGAATAGTATTTAGTTTCATTATAGACTTTAGCGAGATTATTGTAAGAATTTTTTATATAATACAATCATATCTACATTCTTTTTCTTCTTGAAGTTTGAGTATGTCGACCATAAATTCATAGTTAATCTTTTATTGCAGAAGAATCAAATAAAAAAAAAGAAAAGATAAATAGAGAAAGATAAACTTAAACTTTATGATGAGAAAAGATCTATTTACAAGAGAAATTGAAAGAAAGAAAGAGAAAAATGCGAATAATTTACGTGCGAAAGACAGCTGGAATATAGAAATTTCTCGACATTTAATGTTCATAATGTTTTTTTTTTATGCAAGTAATGGTGTTGTTTCATCAGTAGTTGTTGTCGGTTCAACAGCAACAATAACAACATCCGTTTGATTGTTCTATAGAAAGAGACAAAAAAAAAACCATAATAATAATAATAATGAAATAAAAAATAACATACTTTGTATCGACTATAAACAAGTAAACTAATTACTGTTATGAATAGAAGAATACCAATAGCAAGAAAAATATATTTCAAAATCATCAGTACAGTTAATGGTACAGATACTTTCTTATGAAACATATCGGCATTAGGTTTATCGATTTCACCATGCTAAAATCATAAATTGAAATCAATTTTTCTTACATAATTATTCACGAGAAAACCACTCGTAGATGCTTCTTTCTAATTTCAATTCCTATTTACACTTGACGAAATTCCTATTTGAGCGTTTTCAATATGTGAAACATTCAAATTGGATTAACATTAAGGCAAAATTCCAAAATACGATTTTTCTTTACTAAAATACTAAGTAAAAAACAGAAATCATTGAAATCATTAACAGGCTATCTCTAGAAGTTTCATCCTCAATCCTTTTTCTTTTTTACTTCATACTTACTTCATTAACCCAAAACATGGGATAAACTAATGGATGAATATGAGAAAGTGGACTAGAATATAAATATTTTTGAATTTTCTTTTTATTTCAAAATAAATATTTTAATATACCCTATTTTTGAATCATTAACAACATTAATATTAAATTGCATTCGACGTGTTCCATTCATTACGACTATTATTCGAAAAACAAAATATATATATTGTTTTTTTTAATGATTATTCATATTTCTTAATACATACTGCCTGTAGTTGGTTCTATATCCATATAACTTCGATGTAACATTTCATCAGGTATTAAACCATCGACTGCATCTTGAACTGATCGATCCGTAGCAAGAAAATGTGGATTTGATGCAATTATTGGTAATGGTATTGATAATGAACTACCGCTTACTAAATAAATAATATTTAAATTTTATTATATAATCGAAAAACTAGAAGATAATAATTATCTATAAATTTATCAAATTTTTTTTTTGTTTCTATAATAACTCTTCATTTTAATATTAATGTTATCAGTTTACTAAGAGATAAGATAATATTTGAAATAAAAGAATTCTTTTTTTCTTACACAAAGTATATACACGAATATCATCACTTGTTTCTTCATTACTTCAAACCAAATATATAATAAAATGCAGGTAGGATATTAAATTCTCATTCAACAAACTTGAGAGTAAAAAACCAAAACTTCTTCAAAACTAGTTTTAAAAAAAATGTATATCTCCAAACTCAATCTTCAATAAACTGTACTTCGTCTAAGAAAAGTCTTAAAGTGTAAACTACAGTAAATTTCATATAGAAAACAGAAAATAGATTATGAAAGATTTCGAGATTAATTTCTATTAAAAACTTACAATGTAAACATGGAGTTAATGAAAATAATCCACTAGGTAAACATTTTAATTTTTGTGTTTGATTTCCCATTGTATAATTTAAACAAAATCCTTCATTATCACTTATATTTGCAAATGTATCATTTGATACAATATATTGATAAGTATTAATATCAAATAAATTTTTATGTGTTTGATTATATTTTAGATAAACTGATCGACATATATCATTCATAAATGTATATATTGTTTCATCTTTTTTTGCATCTGGATGCCATAATGTACTATCAGTTCCATTGATCATATTTGCATATTTATTTGACCATATTGATAAAGATGTTGAAAAATTAAAACGTTCAATTTTACCAAGATTATTAATACGTTCATTATGATTATTATCATAACCAATACCATTATTAATAAGAATTGTTTCATATTGTGCTTCATTAACCTAAAATTATGAAAATATGAAAGAACAAAGAAAAATAAAATTCTTATTACCACAGAAGCAAATACTGATATTTGATCATTCATTACTAATTGAGGTAATCGATTTTTAAGTATACTTAATATTGGATCTTCATAACCCCAGAGATATTCTTTTATTGTTCGTTGCATAATTGGTTTTTCTACAATAGTTAATATTGTTCCAATAATTTGTCGAAATAAATCAGGAACATTATGTGTTTGAAGGTAATTAATTAATGTCTAAACAAAAGAAAACAAAAACAAAGTTTTATTAAATATTCTTTTATTTTATCTACCATATAAACAACATTAATTGTATTAATACTAAATGTTTCATCAGCAATTGATTTTGATCGATCAAATGTATAATTACGTGATTCACGATATGATATTGTTCCATTAGGATAAAATCTTATATCTTCTTTTGTTCGTTGTTCTCTTTAAGAAATAGAAAAAAAAATTCAAAATAGACTATTTCTTTTTTTTTATCGATGATCAAGAACTGTTTACGATTTGCATCTTTAAGAAAAATATTGAAAAGAATCATTTTGATTTCATCATATAAATATAATCATTCTCGATTACTCACAAAAAAAAAGACACTCTTCTATCCTTCAATACTTCTGTTAGATCGTGTTTTACAAAATATCTCTGATCTCATTATGTCGTCAAATAAGGGCGGACTACCTGTTCATAATAACTTGCAATCAGCTCATTCGTTCGATTGAGATGATCAAGCTCTGAACAAGACTAACTCTCGCACACAAATTTTCGTAAAATATAGATTTCAAAGATTCTGTTCATTATCATCAATAAAAAAACATTAACACATTCGGTTAGCTTATATTGATTTATTATTATAACTAAATTTACCTATAAACAAATGGTCCACGTTGAATAAGATGTGGTTTTGCTCCATTAAGAAATTCAACTTGATTATCAAGATCAAATACATAGATTGAAATATATAAAGGTACAGGATTATCACGCCAAATTTTATAAAGAATTGTTCCTTGTTTTAATTGACATTCCTTTGAAAACAAAAAAGTCAAAATTTCAAAACAAAACAAATGCTTTATACCTTTTTTACTGTTCTCTTAATAAGTGAATCCGAGAAAGTAATTAATAAAATTCCACTAATAAGAAATGCAATACTCGTTAAAATTAATACAATCGACGCACAATGAAGACGATCAATCATCATAATCTATAAGCGTAGTCATCCATTTTATGTTAAATAATGATAAAACAAAAAGAAGAAAAAAAAAAGCATGAGTTATACACATAGGAAATATTTTGTGTTAGAAAAATAAACCCAATAAGAAGATAAATGAAGTAAATATGAAAAAAAAAAAAGAAAAAACAAATTGAGCTAGCAGAAAAAAAAAAGAGCTTAGATAGAAAGAAAGAGAGAACAAA